ACGGCTGGCATGTGGGCAGGGATTGGGGTCGTGCTTGTCAGCACCATTACGTTGGTGGCAGCCCATCGCGCCTCTGGGGGGGCAAAAGCAAAAGGGCTGGCCGGTCAAGGCTGCGGGAGTGACGATTGGAGATACCTCCATCTCAGGTGATGCTAGCTGGTAGCCTGGCTCTATCTCATTACACTCGGTTCCCACACGTGCTACATCGCAATGTAAACACACAGCTCCACCTGTTCGTTTTCGCATCGCCGACTGGGGGAAAAAATCCATGAAGTTGTATTGAGACGATCCGGGCCACGCCAGCCTCCGATACGTTGGTGGTGAACGTTGGGCGTTTCCCCGGTTTGGACTTGTTCTGTTGATCGCCGCTGATGTCACATAAGATCAGATCTGCCACTGACGTCGCTTGGCAGTTTGAGATGGGAGAAGAGAGTCTGACTACGTTAGCGCACTTGGCAACGCCCGAGAGGGACGCTGCAATGGACATGCAGACGGGCAGACGGGCTGCCGGCCAGCTGCTGCCTCCCCTCTGGCTGCCAGCCAGCCCAGACCGTGCCCCTCCCCTTTTCCCAGAGTTGCATCGCAGGCTGGCCCAACCCATGCGATCCAGTTAAAAGCCCGATGACGGATAGATGTGATGGAGAATGAAACAGACGTGCTGCAGTGTGTCAAACCCAGCCAACGACAGGGCTGGAGGCGTGTGTGTGGTGTAGCGTCGCGCGAAAAAAAGGGGGGACCTGGCCTGCCAAAGTTCCTGTAGAGCACAGTCCTGCGCTGAGCACCCACACACTGGAGGCACCTGGGCGGCGTGTAGGTACTTTGCCCAGCACTGCTCCAAATCTGCCGGTACAAACACGGTTCACACTGTGTGGGACGCTCTAGCCGGGTACATACATCAGGCCGTGCACGCACTGTCCTCTGTCAAGCGCGGACAACCTACTAGCACTTAGGCTCTTCTTAGGTTGCTTGTATATATAGAATTAGGACGGGCGCACAGCCTCAAGCGGCGAAAAAAGACACAATTGACGTCGTTGATGCGAATGCCTCGTGTGCAATGGCCACAGGCGCTGTATAGCTCCGTATCTCAGCCTGCTATCACGGCTGCTTGGGGGGGGTAAAAACTGGCAGCGCTGGACCAGCCCGGCTTCGAGATGAGCTTAGTTAGTATGCATACTCTGGCAGACGCCAGCCTATTCTGATTTTCAGGGTCCTGCTGATTTCGGGGCAAAGCCGGTGGGTATTTGGGCGAACTGCCGAGGTTGGCTGACCTAGGCGCCAGTGCCAAGTTCTGCCATGGCTTGCCCTAGGCGAAGATCTGGGTAATTATCGAAATAGCCCGTACCGTACCGCACCGTACCGACGATATGCTGCCACGCGCGCCGCGGGCACGAGAGAAAATTAAACATGTTGGCCATGCACGCTGGTCCCATGCATCGTCTCCTTCCCGTCGGAGTGATTTACATCATGCGCATACGAATCGCCAGCTGCAACGGTTCGTATCTGCTTCCCATGTGCCATCAATGCTGCTGCCCCCTCTTTCCGTTGCCATCCAGCGTGTCATTCAAGCCCGGCAATCGCACTACCCAATGCGGTCTTGTTCACGTGCTATTCCCTGTGTGGGCATTCCGTCGTCCGCGGGGGCCCCATTCCCTAGCTCTGTGGGTGCTGGCCACGATGAATGGAGGTTCTGCTCCAGGCGTCTTTTGCTGCGGTAGCGTGCTGTGTAGCTCGTACATAGCACATACCCAGGTCCCTCAGCCGTCCAAGGGTTGGATCCAAGGGCCAATCGCAACATACATGGCTGTGTGCATGTTGCGTACCGCAGTCCCCCTGCAAAAAGTTGTGTTCAAAGGTTCGCAGAGCCTGTAGCGGGCGCCTGTCTTTGCACATCCAGGCGCGGTGAGAGGGCAGTGGGCTGGCTGGCGCTTGCTGGTGGATGCCAGGGGAATGCACCAAGGCCAGTGGCGCCTGAGTCGGCTTGAGGTTTACCCTGGTTGTGACGTCACTGGCTTCGAGGAAGGATGGAAGCGACGACGGGGGCCACCTGCTGAGGTCTCACTGGCCCGGGCTCCCCTGCAAGGTGCACCTGGCCCAAACGTCATTCCAAGCCGCGCTAAGTGACGACCCGTAAGGCAACCAGGTGTGTGGTTAGACAGGCAGGGATGATGGGGGTGTGGCCTTCATTTGAGCTCTGGGGGTGAGCCAAGCAGGTGGATTTCTGACAAGGGAGCCAGATGCACTGTGTACTCTTTCCCTTGTCTCTTTCGAGGATGGCCACTGCGCTGCGAGTAAGGTGCTAACAGGCATCCTGACTCTTGCTGTTCTGTTTGCTTTGGCCCATTATTCCCGTGTCGCAATGTTCAGATGGCAGCCGGAGGCGAATGATGTTGCGATAAGGTCCTGCCGCCTCACTCGTTCCGTTCTTCTTTCCAGAATTCGCCTCCAGCTATTCCCCTTCCATTCCTCCTCATGACTCTTGCAAAAGCCGTGAATCGCTCTTTCAACCATGTGTCATGTCGTTGGTCACTTTCTCCACGACACGGGAATGTATACATGAGTATGCGGCCACAGCTCGAGACCAACCAATGATACCTCCCCAGTACCCAAGGTCGTGTCAAGCTTGCCTGGAGCCTTTCGCCGTGTTCTCCGCAGCTCTGTGCTAGGCCCATTCTGTCCTACCTACACAGACAACACGAACGCATGTGCCGGAGAGCGGTGTGGTCCATGTCATCAATGTCATCAATGCAACCAAGCAAGACTTTGGCAGGCCGCCCCCGTCCATCTGCTACAACAAGTTCTTCGGACTGGGTGTCTGCTCTATCCATGGTGTTTTCGTTTGCGGGGATGAGAACCCAGTCCTGGCAGCTCAAAGTTGCAGTGGGAATCAGAGATCGGGGGAAGCTCAGATCACGCTGACTCTCCCGTCAATCATCGCGGTTGTATTTGGCTAGAGGATGCTGATCACCGCCGACTGCTATTTTCGATGGCACCAGATGTTCGTGTGCCGGGTCACACAGACCAGGCAACTTGCAAACATAATAGCAATAAGGATTCGGGATTAATGTGCGGCGCGCACACAAGCATCTGATCCCAGAGACAAGAGCATATTACTATCCGCGGCTTGAAACGAAACAAAAGTCCGAGCCCTCTAGAGTACTACCTTGTGCTATGATTACGCTGCCGGAAGGACTTGTGTCTAACCGGTCCCTCGGATCGCCCGAGGGGTTTCCTTCTGACATTTGTCGCCGACCTCCTCCTTGTCAGCCCGCTGGAAACAATGGCTTTGAGCTTCCTTCTAGAAGGACTGACATAGTACAGAGATCGCCACGTCAATGCTTGAAGCTTCACCAAGCAGGAAGGCAGCGAGAAAATCTAGTCGGCAGAGGCGCGGTCTGTTTCGGTCGCTCCTGTCGCACAACATGGTGGAATCCATTCAAAAGTTCTGTGTCGACCTCACATGCTGGCCATGAAAGGTCTACCCCGGCCAGTCATCTATCGCCGACCACGGAGGGTGGACCGTCATGTGTTACTGATGCCATTGAGCCCATCCCACCCCTTTAGCTTGGCCCGTATTCAATCAACCATGAAGCAGGCACAAGTAAACGCTCTGCGTTCCGGATACGGCGTCCTGCATTGGCGCAGTCCCGATCAAAGGCCGCCTCCCGGGTCATAACTCCGGGAGGAGGGACTCGCTTGCCTGCCGCCTGATGTCGCCCTGTACATTTTATCATCAGGTTCTCTCTCTCTTGGACCCCTTTTCAAAGATGCGCCTATGGTGTCGTGAATCATGTGCTGCCAGGGATCATGACACTTGCTAGATCAAGGGTAGCCTCCAGGGGTCAGCATATGAAACCCATATGTCCGTTATCTGTTTTTCTCTCTTCTATATTGGTCCCGGTAAGACTAAACTCTGACGTGAAACCAAAACGCCGCAACCGTATTGCTCCTTCCAGTTTGTCGTGTGCTACACACTACTGCTGCGACCTGCCAGTTACGAGGCGGTCTGGTCTTGGGCTTTTTCGGGCATCTCATGATGAGGCCATGCTTGCATTTAACATCGCGGGTGGGCTGAAGGCTCCGCACTGCCATTATCTCCCTTGTCCCCTGCACTTCCCGAATGACATGTCGTATTCTCACAGCGTGCCAGTTTAGATGGACTCTGCAAATCTGTAAATCATACATACCTTCAACATATCGTAGCAAAGAATCGTAAATTGCTCTGGGTCTCGTGAATGATGTTGCGGGGTAGCTGATCCAAGTGGAGAGCCTCCAGAATTGATGCTAGGCATTTAGCCTGACATTGTTGAACTCTTCTCATTAAAAGAAAGAGGGGCCCATTGCGAGAAGGCCGAAGTCAGATGGGACCGAGGAGAGAGTTATCACGAGCTACATGCTCCTCAGAGGTAGACCAATTCCTCATGGTGCAGTCCGTCAACCAGTCCAATTGCCGGGCTTTAGCCTACCGAATAACTTCGGAACTCTATCTATCCGAGCATTGGGAAACGAAGGCGGGGCTTGTTAAAAAAGCTAAACCCACAACGATGCCAGTTGGTTTTGGGCAAGCAAATCGCCTTCAGGTGGTCGTGCCCTCGCTTCAAGGCCGGGGTTGCATGTCGCCAAGCAGGTGAGGGGAGGATGATTGCGGTGGGGGTGGGGGAAATCACATTCCATGTTTCGTGGTTATGGTTCTCTCAAGACATTTTTCTCGTTTTTATTCTGTATTACCAGTAGAAACGCCTGTCCCCCATGCTACCCGGCTCTATCAAACAAGTGAGAAAGAAGAAAAATGAGAAAGGAAGACATGGTGAGGAAAGGAAAAAGTAATAAGTGTGCGTTTCGAATACTAATGACGCTGCCCGAACCCTTCATTATCCCGTCTGTTCTGAATACAACAAAGCCAACCCCTTTCTACCCGACCTCCTCCCCTCCTTTTCCTGGAAAACTATATATCGCACACTCGCAAGACTAAAACAACGACAAATTTGTAGGCGGCCTGTAGTTTATAACACAATGTGGAGTTCTGGCCTGTCCATGGTATCTTCGTCCAGGTTCGGATAGAATGGTACCATGGCGTCAGCTGCCTGGACGTAGGCATCGTTGAAGAGCCGCCAGTAAGGCGTTCGGACCTTTCTGGCTGGGTGGAAGAGACCTGCCCAGACGTAGTTGAGGACGACGCCCGGTCCGACTGCGACGCGGATTGCCTCGATGGCCTCGATGATGCGATCAATGACGTGGGGGCTGGTCTCGAAGAGGTTGGGGTATAGGAGGTTGAGGAGATGGACCATGGCGTCCTCGCAGCCGAGACCAACGACGCCCAGGGCAATGTGCTTGACCACCGAGGCGGCGGTCTGGCGATGCACCTGATCACGGTCGATCAGAGCATCTTCGAGCAGAGGGGTGACGGCGTAGACGTAGTCCTTTGCCATCTCTCCGATGTACTCGAACAAGAACGAGAGTGACTTGAGGACACCGTTCTGCACGTTGAGCTCTGGAACGCGGTACTCGTTCATGAGCGCAGGGAGAACTGTGAAGGGAGCGCAAGTCTCGGCAACAATACCGATAGCGACAGCAGTGTTGACACGAGACTGACGCTCCTGGACTCGGAGGTTGTTGAGCAGTGTTGCCAGAACATCCTGGGGACCGATGGCCTTGGCGATGAAACCAAAAGTGTTGTTGGCGGCTCGTCGAATGCCCTTCTTGTGCGCCTTGAGCATATCAAGGAGCTCGAAGCAGATACGCATCCATTCTCTGGCGTTAACACTTTCAGGACCGCGATCGGCAATACGGCCGACAAGATCGATGGTGTTTTCCTGCACCTTCTCGTGTCGGTTGCGCAGAATGGGAGTAAGACGAGGGAGCAACTCCTTGATGGGTGGTTGCATCTGAGTAATTCCCACGACGGTGACGATAGATCGAAGGGCACCAAGAATGGAACCAAGGACTTCTGGATACTCTTCACCGAGATATTCGTAGAGCACGATACCCAGCTTGCCCATCAAGGCGTCCTCACCGCACTGCTTCATCACCATAGCAATTCGAGAAATGAGGTCCGCCGCCTGCTGACGGACAGTAGCCGATTTGTTGTTCAGTCTCCATAGAATGGTACTGACAATTTGAGGGAGATAGGGTTTGCAGCGGGTGCCCAGGGCATTCACCACGGAGCCAAAGCCGTTGAGCATAACAACGTCCTCGACGCTCTGCTCCTGGAAAGCGTGCAGAATACCGTCTACAAGACGTTCCTCCAGACGCTCACCAATATCAGCAGCGCCAAGACTTGCCACAATCTTCTCCACAGTCTCGACAGTCATCTTTCGGTAGGCTTCGCTTTCATCTTTGAGATTGTTGACGATGCGTTCCACTATCTCGCTCACGCCAACTTTCTGGCCGATGTCGACTGTCGTTTCGACAACTTGTCTGTAATTGCGCTTGTCTAATGCCATGCGCCTCACCCAGAAGTTCTTGAAGAACTCATCAAGCACATGCTCTTTGAGATATCCGGCGGTGACACCGTCAGTTCCTGCGCACTGAGACACAACCTTGAGCACAACCTTCTTCATCTCTTCGTCGGGAGATGAGAACTCTCGTAGAAGAATCTCCATAATCTGGCTAGTATAATAGTTGGCGTATTCTTCATCCATCAGAGGAATGATGTAACCGACAGCCTTCAAGAAACCTGCCAATCCCTTTCCTCTTTGCTTTCGTGCGCCGGTCCAAAGAGGGTTGAGAATATCATCAAAACTCTCAATACCGTATGGGTTGGATGCCTCGGCCAACGCGGCGATAGCGAGACTGGTCACGGTTCGAACCTTGGTCTGGTCATCATTCAGGTTTTGACCAATGCAGTCAACTAGACCCTTCAGATGTGGTAGAACCGCACAGCCCATCAAGATAGGAATCTGCTGGACGATCTTCACACCAGTATGTCTAGCTTGCCATGACTTCTTGCTTCGGCACACTGCCCGCAGGAAGGGAAGGAGTGCCGGGATACCCAGCGCGGAAGCCACGACAGCAAAGGCACGGGCAGTGGTGTTTCTGACATATTCGTCAACATGATCAATATCCGGTCTCATGGTACTGATCATGGTAGCTAGACCAGCCGCCTTACTGAGGTTGGAGATAATCTCTCGGCCCTCCACTCGAGCATAGTAGTCTTGGTCAATCAGAAGAGGCTCGATGACGACCAGAATCTTGTGAACGTAAGGCCGAACTAGGTCGTCGAGCTTGTAGAGAATTCTGTCGATAACCTTGACGAGCAAATGACGCTCCTGATCCTCCAGGGTTTTTTCCATCAACAGAGGGAGAATCTGATCGAAAAGCGGACCAGCACCAAACTGCCTCGCGTTGTCGGTGATTTGGCGCAGGGCAGTCTTTCGCATTGGAGGCGTACCGTTCTTGATCTTCAGCAGAAGACGCATGATCTTGCGCTCCTTCATCTCGTCGACAGTGAGCACATTCTCATCAGAACCGTCAGTCAGCTTTCCGAAGTAGGCCATATCCTCAGGCTTGAAGAATTGCAAATCTCCTACTCCAGGAATCTCGGCTGGCATTGGCTTGCCGCCAAGGCGGACTTGATCTGGATCCTGCATCATGAACCCAGTGTGCTGAGCCGGAGTTGCCATTAGCTTGTGAGCAGGAGCGGACGTAGGAGCGTATCCTGGAGGTGGCTCCAGGATCTTGTATCCCTCATCCTCACCAGGAAGCAACATGTCAAGCTCTTCGTCGCTGATCGGCATGTTGCGAATTGTTATATCGGTTCCAAAGCCGGGAGGCAATAAACTGGCCTGAGCCTGCGGTGCTGGTGTAGCCAAACCTTGGTTAACCATGGGAGTAGCTGACGGAGCTTGGTCCCATCGCGATCGCTTCTTTGGAGCCTCTGCGGTCGGTCCACCAATTGAAGGCGCCTGGTCCCATCGAGATCGTTTTGGCTGAGCGCCATCGGTAGCATCTTGAGGTGCCTCCTCGGCCGGTGCAGAAGACACGTCCCATCTCTTCTTGCGCTTGCGGCTTGCAGCCGAATCCTCAGCTGCACCGTTCTCGTTATTCGCATCGTGAAGGGTGGGTTTGGCGTCCTCGTCATGAGCTTCCCCATTTTGTTTCGCAAGGATCGCGCGTCGAACCCGTTCCTCCTCTCGTTCGAGATCGCGCGCCTCCATGATTTCGCGGTAGCTAGAGCCATTCTCAGTGGAACCGGCCTGGCCATTTCCATTAAAAGCATCGGCGCGCGTCGGGGTGAGAGCTCTGTTGAAGCGCCGCTTCTGGTAGTCGGTCTCGCGATCGGTGATCCGATTGCTCTTTTCCCCTCGCCCCGCGAGAATATCATCCTCCTCGACGCCATTGCCTCGGGAAAACTCATCTATCATCTCGCGAGAGGCCGTGTACTGTCCCACGAGCCTCCGTGTGTTGTCGGCTCCCTCCATCTCATCATCATCATCCCCCATCGGCAACGAGGTGTTGTAGCCGGCATATTTGTCTGCGCTATCGTTACCGTAGAGGGCGGTATCCGCGCTGTCTGTGAGTCGCTGTTTGGTTGAATCGGCACGTTGCGTTGATGCGTCGAAGGTCCGCGAACCCTTTTTCGCAGCAGCGGCGGCGTTGCGCTCCTGCTGGAGCTTGATAGCCTTGTCAAAATCCGCGTCAGACATCTTGAATTATCCGTCTTCCAGCTTCATCCCGCGTCCGGGTCAGAGGTTGGCAATTCGGAATTGCAGATGCACATGGAAGAGGCGGTTGTCCCAAGGTGGCTGACAAGCTGAACCAAAGAAACTTCGTGACTGAAGCTGCCGTGGCGGCGAAAAGTCTCCCGCGACAAAAACGTGGGTTTCGCCGGCCTTTAGCCGATGTCGATCCCCACCACCCAACGTGAGCTTTTCGCCGCGAGACAGAGCATCTTGGCTTTCATTCTGTTAATTTCTAAGTATTTTCCACATTGATAGAGTTGATTCCTCGTTAGTTTATTTAGCCATTGTTAATTGTTTCAATCGTCGTTGCCTTCATATTATGTCTATATATCAGAATTTACGGTAATATCACCATCCCTCAGGCTCGTCCCCTAGATCGAGTCCGCCTCCGCTTAGCATCCCCTTCCCCTTCCGTAGCTAATTTGATTTCCTCGACACCCGGCTCGGGTTTGACTGTCACCGTTTTGGTCTCGACGAGCTTCCTCTTCTTTGGCGAGACGATACCGTTGGTCTCAATCAATTCCTCCTTGATTGAAACCCCGTGAGTCTCTTCTTTCACAAGTGATTTATCTGAAAATGCTTTCAAATCAGCAGTGAAAAGGACTGAGTGTGCCCACCCAGCATACTTCCCCCACAACTCTCTAAAGTGATCCCCCACAGCATCGTACATGGCCTTGTTGAAGGTCTTGGCCTTCTTCCCGAACTTGTAATCTCTCTGGGCGATCTGCCAGACGTGAGTGTCGACCGGGACAGACTCGCCCCATCCCAAACCCATCAGGCAAACACAGTCAGCGACCTTTGGGCCAACACCCTTCAGTGCGAGGAGCGCCTCGTGTGCTTCCTTGTATGTGGAATTCCTGGCATCCGGCGCCAGCTGCGAACTGAACCCGGGATTGTCGGGGTTGCGCAGAGTTTCCAGCCAGTTGCTCGGCTTCTCCTGTGCCACGATGCGAGCTGTATCAGCAATATACTTTGCTCGGTATCCAAAACCCAACTCTCGTAATTTAGATTCAACCCCATTCCCTATTAAATCATCAGGGTTGGGAAAATCATAAAACGGTACGCCATCAATGTGAGCGATTAGGGGACCGTAGTGCTTGCATAGTTTATGAACCTATTCCGGGTTATCATCACACATCCCGCATCTGATTGTTAGTTTGTAAGGGAACTTACCATTTGTGATATCCTAGTGATATTGTTATTGCTGCTGCAGATGAAGGCTATCAATGCTTCCCAGGCATCCTGGTTTAACATGCGGACACCAGTAAAGGTCGGTGCCTTCTTTCGGAAGTTAGGATCGACACTCGACCATTGCTCATAGAGACTCGCTAGATCCAGATCTAAACTGAAATAATGGTGTAACAAGGCTTGCGTGTCATCTTCAGCCTTGGGTGTGAGCTTTTGCGTTACGGCAGACCCCTTGAGGCTCTTCTCGGGCCAAGTGACTTTGTAGTGCAAGTGAGTTGAGTCCTGCTTCAGGGATAGGATGCGTCCATGAAGAGTGCAAACCCTGTGCATGTGTGAATTAGCTCGGAGTGTACGGCACCTAGAGAATTTCTCGGAACAGATTACCACTCATCGTTGATTTTTTGCCATCGGAATGACTGCCCACAGCGGAGGGTAGTGTCGATACAGAGTTCAGAGAGAGCAACAGGGAGTTTCCGCCATTCAGATATTCGCTTGAGAACCATCTTAATAGGCAGAATCGGCCAGTCAGGGGACAGTGGTTCATAAACGAAGTGGCTGCCAGAAGAATGATCAAGTAAAGTCACAGCTATCTGAAAGACCACTGTCGAACTTGGTATCAGGGGTTGAAGGGATCGTCGCCTCTGTTAAGGGACTTCGGCATATGCGCGTGTTACCCAAACGGGTGTCCTCCTGGTAATTTAGAGCTTAGTCAGCCACTTTTAGCGAGTAGAAGTTGGTCCCCGGGCTCCACTTCTGCATGGCTGCTTATACCATCTCCATAGTCTTGTTCTTGACCTCTCATCTTGAGCCGTCGGTATGCAACTGAAAAGATGCCTGAGACTTTTTCATGCCGCCCAATCGTTACTAATGCCATGAGCGATGTATTCTCCAATATGTGAAAATGTCTTACATAGGAGGTGGTCAGCTAAGCGGGGATGCCCAACTCAAACTGCAAATCAATCGAGTTTATACAAAAGGCCGGTCATCGATAGGTACTGAATCCGACTGCAATAACAGCTTAAAATACCTTTAATCATATGATGGCTTTAGCATAGGCAAGCTTGATCTTTCTGTATTCACTTGAAATCTTTGGCCTGGGAGCATGAGCTACCACTGTCTTAGCTCCCAGAACCTCTGGGGAGAAGATAAATTCAAATGGACACGGTTTGTTGGGCTCGGAATTTGGTATACATCCTCCTCTGGACATCAGAACATTGAAGAGCAAGTCCTACAAATGGACAACCTCGATGTCTGGCTCAAGGGGCCGCCTAACAAGAAGGACTACAATGGCATTCAATGGACACGATTGTACCAGATGGTCATCGCAAGCGACGATGGCAAAAAAATTCCCCGCTCTTCGCCTGAGAAATGCCTTTCGGCTTTACTTAGCCACTCCCAACTTCAGTTTGCATTCGACTTCGCGATGAGCTATCCGGCAGGGATAAGCGCACTACCTTTCCAGGCGGCTGGTGGCGATGAGGTTCATACCTACACTTTGGCTAACCATCCAAAACTTGCATTCTTGTGGAAGCATGTTATTCCAAGAGCACCCGAGTGCTACGGCACTACATTCAAGAATGAGGAAGCAGACATAACTGAGCTAGTATCAGTTAAGCCTGGTGGTTATACTTTTGGGATCGTATTTGTTGATTCTAAGGAATATGAAAACCTATCAAAGCTCATACATCGCCAATGGTCCACCAATCTAGTCTCACATCCCATGTTTTCGGCTTTCATCTCCAGTTTACATCTAAATTTCCGCATCGACAAGATACACCAACACATCAAGACAGAGACCCGACGTGTTGAAGCAAGAACAGGTCATCACTGTTTCAACAGCCTCCAACAGTTCCCAGCTCCTGGTGACCTACGGGAGCTGTTAGCAACCATGAGCGGGTTTGCAACCAAGCTAGCAGGTACAAGCCGGAAGATGGAGTTTCTCCGCGAGGTTTATCAATTCATTCATACTCAGATGGATTCAAAATACGACGGCCACAAATCAAACTTGATAGAGGGAGAAGAACGTAGGGATTGCATGGATATGGGTCAACAGGTTAAGCTGATGCAGCATCGACTTGCCATGCAGCGTCTTGAAAGCGACTTCATTCTAGCTCGGGTCGAGGTACAAATGAATGCTGTAGGTGAAGGAGGCAACCTCTATCGAGTCAGACCGTACTAACCACCAGTGAATATAGATGTTCCACCTTACCTCGCAGCAGGACAGCGTAAATGGAATACACATTGCAAATGCGACGCAGGCGACCGCAGTTGTTTCCCTTCAGGAGTCATCATTCATGAAAATACTCACCCTCATGGCTGTAACGTTCCTGCCCGGTAACTTTGTGGCTGCTCTCTTCTCGGCCTCTCTCTTCGGCTCGGAAACTGCTGCCAACATGATAACGATTGCTAATAAACCACTGTTTGCGTTGTTCTGGATCATTACTATCCCACTTACACTCTTCATCTGCATCGTCGTAGTTGTATGTGTGTTCATACAGAACAGGAATACACAGAAGAAAATTCGCGTTGCACAGGATCAATTGACCAATAGATCACAAGAGCGAAGAACATCTTAGATGGAAATATATAGATTATTCCCCTCTTTATCACCTTTTCTGGCTTCAATTCTCAGTGATCTAGTTTTACAACTATTCAAAGCTAAATTGTACCTAGTTTTGGGGAACATAAATTGGGTAACGGAGAGTTTCTGGCAGACAATCACACAATTGTTCTACATGAGCTCCCTCTTTTCTGGACATGTGGCCACTTGAATTTAGCCATCAACTCTGAGCCACTCACGATCGCTTCAGGGTTCTAAAGATGCAGACAACGTAGCTCGGGTCTACCCCATCTCCTATTGGTCATAATTACACATACGTGGTCATCAATGAATTCTGGAAGGATTTATTCACACCATCTTGGCTACAGTGTGCCTGATAAGCTGCGGCTTAGAGCATTTAGTCCACTGAACATAATTCATGCAATCCGTGGCGTAAGGAAAGCAAAACCAGCTGTTGGACGACTGCTGACCGCGTTGTCATCCACGCATATAGTGGACAGATAGATGATTTGTTGCAAAAGATGATGTCAGATTCAGTCGAGACCATTCTCGTTGGCCCCCGCAGAGTTCTCGCTCAGAGAAGAGTGGAGAGACTGCAGGAGACAACCTCAGATATTGATACCATTGTTGGTCAGCATTGTGTCAGGCCTCGAGTTCAATCGTCGGAGTGAGGCCGAGCGCAGGCGTTTCATTGGATTGATTGCAAACGATAATATTGCACTTTCAAAGGTGTGGCGTCTCAGAAGGCGTATCCGTGATAGGCGGGTATCCTAGAACCCTCAATTGCTCAATGAATAGAGGCTCAGCTCTGATCCTGAACCTTAAATACATGTATGGATAAGGCTCTCTCACAAACGCCCTTCCGTGGGCTAGTATGCTTGCGGCCACAGCCGAGTTCCCTTTCAGCTTGTCTAAAATAAGGATCATTCCGCCACATTTTGTATGCAGGAATAAACCATCTGACGATTATAGCTTTTTGGACCCCTGAATGCCCCCTTCGAATTTACAAGTAGATCAGCCATATTCGGAGACTTAATGTGCCGAAAAATATATATATTGAACGTCGAGAACCTGAATTTATAGTAACTGGATGTATAGACAATCAGCTTCTGCCATCTCATTCAATATATTCCTTTACAGCTTATACTTCCCATCGGCTTGATTCCAAGATGCCAGCCCAGAATGAGAATTCATCGAGAGCCTCATCTTCAACGGTAGATGATCGTTCGGTGAACGAACCTTGGGCACCCATCGTTCTTTCTTTGGGTAATATATAGAAGCCTTCATATTTGCCCTCTCTCAACAGCTAACCATTGTGGTGTACAGATGGGGGAGGCATCAAAGGCCTCTCTGAGCTATTCATTTTGCGCAGAATAATGGAACGGATCAAGGAGAAGATTAAGGAAGACCAGAAGCGGGCCATACCTTATGCCAATCCTATTTCGCTCATCACATCACAAGGTCATTCTGGCATTGATGATCCAGAACTCTTGCCATGCTACTTTTTTGACTTTATGGTGGGAACGAGTACTGGAGGGTAATGCTCCCATCCTCGACAGATTCTTCGTGCTGCATGACTAACAAGTCATTAGGCTTATCGCTGTCATGCTAGGTAGACTGAGAATGAGTGTGGACGATGCCATCAAGGCGTATTGGAATCTCGGAGCCAATATATTTCCTCCTGGTGTCATCTTACCCTCTCAGCGGAGAGAGAGACCAAAGAAGGCAATCAACAGCGTGATACAGAGCCACTGTCTCTGCCATCAAGACAAAGGACCCTGTGTTGGAGAAGAGGAGGAACTCAGGCAACACGATTACGCCGAGTTTAGCGACTTCAACTACCCGAAAGACAAGAGGAATCTTACTTGCAAGGCGTAAGTAACGCTTGTACTGCCTTCCTTGAACAGTTATATGAAGAAGCTCGTTCACTAACCATTCATACAACACCAGAGCTTTAGTAGCTCAGAAACGAGGAGGGGATTCTAATGAGGTATATCTTTTCCGAACATACAATAACAAACTCAACAAGCACGGGATCCAAGTCCCGAACGCAAAGATATTGGACGACGCCAAGCTTGCCATCTGGAAGGCTTGTTGCGCTAGCACCGCATCCCGAAAACATTTTGGAGTCATGGTGATCAAGGATGCCCAATACATCGATGGCGGCGCTGATAACAACAACCCGAGTGGTATCGCCTTGGACGAAGCACGCGCTATGTCTCGCTCAACCGAGCCCAAGGTCGCTGCGATGATTAGTCTTGGCTGTGGCGAGAAGATGAAGCCTGGCTGGTTAGGCGGCAGCCCCTTCACAGTGGCGACGCTCAGGGCTCTGGCAAGACGAGTCACCGACACAGAGAAGACGCACCAAAACACCCAGAAGCTTTGCCAGCAAGCGGAAACTCCGTACTTCAGATTCAACGTCAAACCCCAGCAGGGAAATTCTGGGCTCAAGAAAACCAAGATGGACCATTGCAAGAAGAAGTCCAAAAAGCCTTGGTGGATGTTTGGCGGCCAGAGGCAGATCCCTGGCGAAAAGGAGATGCCAGAATGGTATCAAAATCTGCAGTCTAAGGCTGGGTCGAGTAAAAACGACAACCATGACAAAGATATTTCCGCTGGTTCCAAGACAGATCAGCAGCAGAGGAGTGGGTTTGACCCCAACAGGTACTTCTACTCTACCTACAACACGATTTTCATGGAAACAATGAAATACTGCGAGGTTCGGCATACAGGCACGCATGAGCAGAAAGTCAGTGATGAGATCGATAACTGTGCTGAGGTTCTTTTGGCGTATGCTCGAGCTCGTTACCGCGATCATTCGGAGAGGTGGAAATGTTTCATTAGCCACCCTGATTCACGGCATCCGCAATATATGACATCTGGATATAGGCGTAATGGAGACGAACCTTGACTATCGCCTACCTAGGTAGTCTGACGAATCCCACGCCTGAGTATAGGTTAGAGATTGTTCGCGGTTGAGTTTGATAGGGTCAATCAAGGAGGTAATGGTTGAGGGTTAGACAGGTTAGATTACTAGAACTGATATATTCTCCTTTCTTCTTCGTTTATTGATTACTACATGCCCAGTAGTTGTTCCCTGCTAGAAAATGGTGCTTCGTTGCAGAACGGATTGAGTTGCTCTGGTTTCTACCCTAGTAAGTGGGTGACATTGAATTTAAGACACTGAAATATTATAGGTCCTTATTGTTAAGTCTACAACTTAAATTTTTGAACTAATGAGGACTAATTATATATCTTAAAAAGACTGAATGAGGTAAATGTTTTATACCTATATCTTCTCTTTCACCATTTTCTGATCTTGTTTAATATTGGAAAAGTCCTGCTTATAACCATACTTCCATTTGATATCTTATTTCTATCGCCCAATTGCCGAGCAGAAATATGGGTACGTACCTGGGAGCTCAATGGTCTAGTCCCAATACAGACTAGCGTATAATTTCTGAAAAAGCTCCAGCCTCGCGCATCCATCAGCAAGTTTATCTGGAGAAACGGCCATCATTCATCAAAAGCGCAAATGCAACCCGCCTTTTGATTATCTTCCAAGAACTTTGGAAGCCCCAGGCGTGTTTGAATTTCCTTTCCATAACGCATCAACCATGAACGGTGATAGCTACTCCCGAGGTATGCTGCTTTCACGTCTCCGTGACCATTTTTTCCCTTGCTAACAATGCTCTTCTATCTAGACAGTCGACGGGGGCGTGACTACCCAGTATGTCCATCTCCATATCGAATCCCTTTCAATCATTCTAACAGCTTGCAGGGCGGACGCGAAGACCGCGACGATCGGCGAGAGCGCCACAGAGATCGCGACCGTAGACGCTCGAGGTCCCCCGACCACCGAAGCAATCGTCGGGCAGAGGGCGATGTAGATGCTTATTCTTCGAGCCGAAACCACAGAGATCGCGAGCGCGAAGATCGTTATTCTTCCGGACGCGATCGCCGCAGAGATCGTGAATGGGACAGGGACCGTGGCAGCTCGCGACGAGATGCTCGCCGTGACGACGAGGATCGATACAACAGACGAGACCGAGACAACTTCGACGACCGCCGGCGAGGTGGCAGGGAGCGTCGCGAGGAAGCCCCTCCCAGAAACGAGAGCCGTCGTACTGCTTCACCGCCGCCAAAGAAGAGAGAGCCGACTCCTGATCTGACAGACATTGTTTCTGTCCTGGACCGCAAGCGACGCCTCACACAATGGGACATCAAGCCACCAGGTTATGATTTTGTCACAGCTGAGCAAGCTAAGCTGTCAGGCATGTTTCCTCTTCCTGGTGCCCCGCGACAACAACCCGTGGACCCCACGAAGCTCCAGGCCTTTAACCAGCCTGGTGGGCAAGTTTCCAGCTCTGGCCTGCTCGCCAGCAGTTCTCGACAGTCGAAGCGTCTGATCGTGTCCAACTTCCCCCCGAAGGTTACGGAGGAAGAGTTGATTTCCTTCTTCAACCTGCAACTCAACGGCTTGAACGTGATTGAAACACCAGACCCTTGTGCTCAGTGCCAGTTCTCTGGCGACGGGTCTCTTGCCATCCTGGAGTTCAAGAATTCTCAGGATGCAACTGTAGCACTTGCATTTGATGGCGTGTCGATGCACGCGGATGATACCAATGGCTCTGGAGGCTCAGCCAGTGGTCTTCAAATTCGACGACCCAAGGATTTCTCGATGCCAGCAATCACGGAAGACTTGAGGGGCGACCTCGATGTGGTGTCAAATGTCGTACCTGACACGATCAACAAGCTTTCCATCACAAACCTACCTACTTTCCTCAACGAGGAGCAAGTCATGGAGCTCCTCGTTGCATTTGGAAAGCCTAAAGCCTTCGTCTTGGTCAAAGACAGAAGTACTGAACAGTCTAGCGTAAGCTTATCCAACCATCTGCTTCACTCCAAGTGTCACTAACTCGTTCTAGGGAATCGCTTTTGTCGAGTTCGCTGACCCTCTCACTGCCAACAATCCTGCTCTCGAAACCTTGAATGGTATGGAGATTGGAGGGAAGA